CCCCAAAACCCCAAAACCCCAAAACCCCAAAACCCCAAAACCCCATAATCTCAGAGAAATTGGCAATTTTATAATTTAAATTTGATAATACGAAAATGAAGTTGAAGAGATTTTTGCTCAGATATTACCCACCTGGAATTATTCTGGAATACCTGAAATCGAACGGAGAGATCGAGACCAAGTCTATTGACCTTCTCAATCTGACTCCAGAGACAGATGTAGATGTCCTTGTCAACCAAATCTTATTTGAAGAACCTACAATTTCAGAGGCAAGGAAGCCTCAGCTGAAAAAGCTTATTTTCAAGTTGATCGAGAAGCTAGAGAGTAATCAGGAGCAAGAGTTTGATGAATTCAAAGTGCTAAAAGCTCACATTCTTCCTCTTACCAACTGCGCTTTTAATAAGAATGGAGATAAGTTTATTACAGGCAGCTACGATAGAACCTGTAAAGTTTGGGACACCATTACTGGTAGAGAACTCCTCAGTCTTGAAGGCCACAAGAATGTAGTCTATACCATGGCCTTTAATGTACCCTTTGGTGATAAGATCGTCACAGGGTCTTTTGACAGAACAGCCAAACTTTGGGATTCAAATACTGGAGATTGACTTCACACATTGACAGGACATACCATGGAAATAGTCTGACTTGCATTCGATCCTAATGGATATTTATTAGCCACTGGCTCAATGGATGGGACTGCTAAAATTTGGGATGTAGAATCTGGTCAAGAAATTTATACGCTCAAAGGACATACAGCTGAGATTGTCAGTTTGCAATTCAATTCTGATGGAGATCTTGTTTTGACCGGATCCTTTGATAATACAGCAATAATTTGGGATGTGAATACTGGAGAAGCAATCCATACACTTTCAGGCCACACAGCAGAGCTTTCATGCACCCAGTTTGATTTCACAGGAGAGTACTGAGTTACAGGATCTATCGATCAAACATGCAAGCTATGGGATGTTGGAACTGGTAATTGTATTGAGACTTTCAGAGGCCATGAGGATGAAGTATTAGATGCTTGCTTCAACTCTACTGGTAATAAGCTTGCTACTGCTTCTGGAGACGGAACTGCTAGAATTTATAATGTCTTCACAGGATCTTGTACTCAGATCCTTCATGGCCATACCCAAGAAATCTCTAAGATTTGCTTCAATCCGCAGGGAACCAAGGTATTGACAGCAAGTGGTGATCAAACATGTAAATTATGGTCTGCAGAGTCTGGTGAAGAACTCCAAACACTGGAAGGCCATGAGGATGAAATCTTCTCTTGAGCCTTTAATTATGAAGGCGACACCATCATCACAGGATCGAAAGATAACACTTGCAGAATTTGGAAGGATGAACCAAGCATGATGAAGGCAAGAGCTGCTGTAGAAGAAGGGAGTTAGTTATTATAAAAGGACATGGTTAGCTTTGTAATTTCAATTCCTTGAATTTTTAAAGGGGTTTTGGGGTTTTGGGGTTTTGGGGTTTTGGGGTTTTGGGGTTTTGGGG